CCCTGCTTTCTCTTAGAGATGTTTATTTGTCCCCAAGAGATGACGGACATTCTACTAAAGACAGCTACTCAAGTAGAGATTACCCAAGCTCCCGTGATACAAGAGATTATGCTTCACCACCAAGAGAATATACTTATTGTGATTATGGTCATTCCAGTTCACGTGATGACTATCCATCAAGAGGCTATAGTGATAGAGATGGCTATGGTTGTCATCATGACTATTCAGATCATCCAAGTGGTGGTTCCTACAGGGATTCATATGACAGTTATGGTAGCTCACGTAGTGCTCCACCTACAAGAGGGCCCCCGCCATCTTATGGTGGAAACAGTCGCTATGATGATTACAAAAGCTCACGTGACGGATATGGTGGAAGTCGAGACAGTTACTCAAGCAGCCGAAGTGACCTCTACTCAAGTGGTCGTGATTGGGTTGGCAGTCAAGAAAGAGGGCTTCCCCCTTCTATGGAAAGGGGGTACCCTCCTCCACGTGATTCCTACAGCAGTTTAAGCTGCAGAGCACCCAGGGGTGGTGGCCGTGGAGGAAGCCGATCTGATAGAGGGGGAGGCAGAAGCAGATATTAAAAACAACACTTTGGACCAAAATCCCTGTTCAAGGAAACAAACAGAAAGTGGAACCTATTCTGTCATAACTACCCAAGGACTACTAAAAGGAAAAATTGTGTTACATTTTTTAAATTTTCTGTTAAGTTCCCCTTTCATAATTTTTATGTTCTTGAGAGGAAAAAAGTAAAACATGTTTGAAAAAAAATAAATCAATATCCTTAAGTATCTGATGTTTTGTATGTGTCTTTTCCTGATCCCCTTCTCCCTCAGAAAATACATGATCTGGAAAATTATGCCATTTCTTGCTTTCTTTATGGCTTGGTCTATATCTCTCTATTATCTATCTATCTATCTATCTATCTATCATCATCTATCCACTTATCTATCTACCCATCCATCCATCTAGATTCCTAAAAAGTAGGGGTTTTTTGGCCAAGGTAATAAAGATATTTCTTTTATATTTTAACAATAGTTTTAAGATTTTGCCATTCGTATTTAAGTTCTCAAACTCTTGATTTTTGAGCGTGACATAAGTGGAGGGGCTCATACACGCTCTGTCATTTAAAAAATAAAAATGGGAGAATTTGCCGGAAGCCGGTCCATCCTTGTTGCTTGACACAATCGCTGCAGGGAAGAAACATCTGCACAGCATATGTTTCAAGGGACCTGGGGTATATGGCATACTGTCCTCAATATGTTTGCTTCCCTTCTTAGCGCTATGTGTTTTAACCAAGGTCACCTCTCCCAGATAGGTTGTAGGGATTAACAGGACTAAGGAAGGGAATAAAACCCCTTAACTAAGTGCCAGGCGGGTAGTTAATCACTTTAACTATGAACAATCAGGCTCAAGCTACATAATCTTTACTTAGGATAATCTCCTTCAGTTACTTCCTTGTAGCTTAATAGAACAATACAGTAACCTTGGAATGGAGATAAGAAACGCCCTAACCTTTGGAATAGAATGGATAGGATTAAAATCAACTGGTATAAATACAGAGGTAACAGGACAATAAGACACAGAACCTGGCTGGAGATTCTGGTTAGAGAACCTGGCTAGGCTGCTGATCAACTGAAGGCTGTGTCCGTGTCATTCCTTCTTCGCCAACTCCGTCCACACCTTTGGGAACACCTGGACCTGCTGGGGTTGGACCCCAACATACAATTACTTAGACATGATAGTTCATTTTTTCTTTCTCACATAACTATCCAAGTATAATCACTCCAGGACTAATATGTCAGCCTTTTAGTTAGTTGTTCTGCTTCTCCAAAGAAGTGATCCTGGTCTTCAAGATCCAAGAGTTTACCACCGTATCTGCTAGGCCCATCCCAACTAGTGAGATGGGGGAATAGAGAAAGGAGAAAGCATACCCTTACTTTTAAAAGCACAATCTGGCAATGCACACATCACTCAATCACACAGACACACCTAACTTCAAGGAAAGCTGCAAAAATCTAAATATTTTCTTTTTAAAAAAATATTGTTGAAAGTATTACATATGCCCCCTTCCCTCCTCCTCCCCACCTCCACTACCCCATCTAGCCTCCCCCCACCCCAGGCCTTCACCACCCTATTGTCTGTGTCCATTGGCAATATATATGTAAGTTATTTAAGTTCTCTTTCCACCCACCTGCCTTATAATTGACAAAAGGTTTTGCTTCTATCTAATTTTCCC